GTGCGTAGTGCATGTCCGAGCACGAAGACGCGGGAGCTGACCTTGGGGGGATGCGTTATTGCATCACGATGCTTCATAGAGCGATGCCTTTTGGCGCAGACGCGATTAAAGGACCAGTGGCCGCAGTCGCAGCAAACAGCGCTGGGAAAAAAGGTGGTCAAATTTTCGTTGGCATGTACAGGATGGCTTTCAATGTAGTGCGCCATCAGCGGATCGCCCTTGCGCATTGAGCACACACATCCTGGCGCAGGACAGTCAATCCAGTTCAGAGAAGGAAAGCACTCGGAAGGGCGGCGGAGATCGGGTGGAGTGGAATGGTGCGTTTGAACATGGCGTTGCTCATTGGAATCCGAGACAAGCATGTTGCAGATTGCACAAGACACCGGAGAAGGAGTCGCCATAATGGCTGCACGCAAAGAAAAGAAAGGCAAGGTGAGATGGTTCACGCATCAATAAATGGCAGCGCATGCGAGGAATGAGGAAGGGTGGGGACTCACCGTTGAGGAGAAGGAAAATGCAACGGAAATTGTAACGGAAGAACGAATCTCAACGGTAAAACCATAAGGGATGACACTTGGTACGTGACCGAAGTTGTCTCGATGAACAGGTGAAAAAGTGTCTCCGATCACAATCAACAAACACGCACACACACACACACACACACACACACACACACACACACATGAAAATTAAAAAAATTTTCCATCTCTCTCTCTCTCTCTCGTGCGCGCGCGCGCTTCTTCGTTGAGCTGTGTCGCGCTGGAGGTTGAGCTCGGCGGGGACGGGAGGAAGGGATCGATCGCGGGTGTGGGGGTGGTTGTGGTGGCATTGGTGAGGGGGTGAGTGCATGCCCTGAAGGTGTCGTGGAAGCTCTTGTACGCAAGCGAAAGAGAAGGATGATCGGCCGCTAAACGGGACTTGAGCGCTTTGTCAAGACTGTGGAGGCAGCGCAAGGACGCGCCATGGCCAAGGTCTGCTCATCGCTGCGCCCACCATTGAATCACTGACCAGATCAGCTTGGCTGCCTTGATTTTGAGACCCTACCTCTCTTTTTGTTTGCCCCAAGTCACCTCGCGCTCTCCTTCATCATGTGTTGTCTGGCTCAACGCGTTCTCGTGCCCCGCTCATTTTATGAATAAAATAATAACCAGGCTCATGCCGTCAACGTCCTTTCGGGCCGACTGGCTTCACCACACGGCGCCCCAGACCTCCGTGCCTTTCAACAGGCCCTTCGCGCAAAGGTTTGCTTCTCCTCTCCCGCTGGCAAACCTCATCACCGCTTGGCGCTGTGGCCCGGTCTTGTCCGGAATCAGATCGACTGCATTGCTCTTACCTCGTCTCGTGACGTGACTCATCCTTTAGATCCAGCCCGAGGAATTGCTCAACGCCCTTGCCCCTGGTGGCGAGTGGTGGCAACGCCACTCAGTCCCCGCTCAAACTCACCATCTGCGTGATGCTGGTGCTTGGTTGCAAGCTCATTGGCAAGCTGCCCCCTTTGATCTGGCTGAGCAACTTTTGACCGTGCTGGGTGAAGGCCGACGCCAGCGTCTTCACCTCATTCTTGACGCCGAGAGCTGTGGTGCCCCGCTCAAAGACACCGCTCTTTGCCTCCACATTCAGGAGGCGGCCCACACATATCGCCTTCGCGTGCGCGTGACCTTTGTTGGTGAGCCATCGCCCACCTCAAAGGCCTGTCTAGAACAACTCGCCACCTTGGTCACACTCCGCGTCGATCAGGTGGCCCCGGTGCGCCACGGGTCCCGCTCCAGGACACGTACTCGTCCGTCCAGTGCCAATGCCAATGCCTCTTCTGCCCATTTGCCCGGCGGACCGCACACCATTGCGCGGCCTCAATCAGCGTATCGTGGTATGAACCGATCAGCCTCAGCCCACCAAGCTTCAACACCGCCTCGACCACAAAGCGCCACCCGTGGTAAAGACCAGGGTCCTATGACTGGGGCCACCTGGCGCAAGCTTTCTGTTCGCATCGCCAGTCTTGATCGGGAACTTCTGCCCACCGTCAAGACTAAACGCTGGCTGCGCCAGCGCTCGCTCAAAGCCTTGGGTTTGACACTCTTTCAAGTTGCCACCTGTGATTGCGTTTTCCGCGGCTTTGCCATGGATGGATCCACCCTTGCCCTTGAACATGTAGGTGCCCTCACTTCCGACCTACAATGACCCAGCCCCACCCCTGCATATCTTGCCCTGACCTTGCCTGTCCCCTGATGACCCTGTGATGCCAAAAGCAGGCGCAACGATACATCAAAGTTAGAAGCGGTGACGAAGTCGTCTATGTCGAACCCCATTCCATCAATATCCGCGCCTACCGAGCTTGTCTACGCCGCCTCTATCAAGTCTACCTGGCTCGCCTCGAAGCCGTAGCCATGGCGTTTGCCTCAAATGCTGAGCGCCAGGTCAGGCCCCGCCTGTTTGATCCCGTTGATTTTTTTCCTTCGCTTCGTCATGATTTTCCTTTGCTTTCTTGCTTCTCATTCCATGAGTGCTTTGTGCCTTCACTCACTTCATTTTTTTCCCACTGCTTGAATTATTTGCGCCCGTGACATCATAAAAGCAATTTGCTCATATCCCGGCCGCACTACGAGAGGCACGTTTGCTGGATCTGGCCCGCGCTATGAACGAGCCGGATATGGCACTCATGCTTGCCGAGCTGGAGCAAGTCAAAAGCATCGAGGATCAATTGTCGCGCCTCTATACAGGCAACTCAGCCCGTCCCACCGAGGCTGTGAGTGGCATGTCCTCCGTGGCCAGCTCAGCCTCGGACGCAGACGATCTGGACACTGAGGGACACACACCCTCGATGGTCGATCCACGTCACGAAGATTGGCAGCTCTCCAGCAGTCTTGTTCATGCCGTCAACCTCAGAGCTCATGAGCCGAGCTTGGTTGTGTCTCAGTATTCGGATGAACATCTCCACGTGACCGGCACTCACTTTGAAGCCGAGCAAGCCGTTATAGCTGAGCATCCGCTCACTGGTCGGCTCTTGTCTGCCGTGGTGGACAACGGCCCGCCCAAGAGTGCAAACACGGGAACGGCAATCTCTGTTGCGCTTATTTTTGACGGCGACCATCACGTGTACCAAGTGTCACCAGCCAAGGTGGTGGTGGCCATGGTTGCTCGATCTCTCTCCATCAACGATGCTTGCCTCATCCCTCGCCCTGACACGGCCCACGAATACCTCTTGGCCCGGGTTCTGGAAATTCATGAGGCGGGGCTCAACAACACTCAAATCGGCTGCCAAGCGATGGACGGGTAAGCCTGACGCTCCCGAGGCCCGAAGCCGTGATGGTTGCTCTCGCCACACACACACACACACACACACACACACACACACACACACACACACACACACACACACACACACACACACACACACACCACGCGCTTGACGGCGTTCTTGGTGTAATTTTTTTTTTTTTCTTTTTTGTTTGTTTTTCTTTTTCTTTTTTTCTTTTTTTGATCACATTGTATAGTGTGCGTGAATGTATTGGCCGCTGCTTTTGATGATTCGTGTGCTCTCTTGCGCCCACCTCCTCCAGCCATATTTACTGGCATCCACTTGATGAAGTGGCTCCCATGACAGCAGAACAACACGATGCCCTGTTACACAGTCTCCAAGCACGCGTCCAGGCTCGGCTCGAAGGACTTCTGACGCAAGCACAGCAAGACTCGGCATGGGAAGCCGGCCAGCACACTGATACGGAACCAGATTGCACATTGCCGCTTCGTTTGCCTCCCCACGAGTCCCCCACCACCCCTATCCTCAACGCAAACGTGCAGCGAGAGCTACGGACGCGCTCCACAAGCATGGGCAAAGACGCCACTTTGGACACGGATGGAGACATCGGCTCAAACGGTTTCCTGGATCGCTCTATTGTGGCTACCACGCAAACTTCCAATGCTTGGCTGGACAATTCGACGCAAACTGAACGCGATCCATTTGACTCTAGCTCTGCTGTGCCGATTGGAGCAAGCTCAAAAACAGACGCAGCCATTTCAGCGGGAACGCTGGCCTGGTCAGAGCCCGGACCTCGGTCCTTTATCAACACTGAGCTTGAGGCAACACACACGGGCTTTGAAGCGACAAACCCCTCGCCCCATGGTGCGGCACCAACCCTCAGTCCTCAACCATCAGAGCTACTTTCCCCTGGGCTGGCCTCGCAGTCTATTCAGCACACCCATGTCGCCCGTGCTTGGCAAGTGCAGCCCACAGTGCAGTCTTCTACTCGTTCTGAGCGCGAGAGCACGCAACAACGCACGCTTGGCATTTTGTTGCCGCCCGTTCTCGAAAATGGTGTCGAGGGCGAGGTGCTTGCCGAGGCTGAGCAAGCAGGCCTCAACATTGTCTATGTCCAGCGCGTCTGTGTTTCCCGCTCGGTCTGTGCCACCTTGCCTTTTGCTTGCTTCACGTCCTCCCCGATTTTTTTAAATGCCTAGCTTGTTTTGTTTGTTGGTGATGCGTGGGAATTATTGGTGCTTATGGCTCACACGGGACATCACGCGTGACTGGGTTGCCAGCAAGTGGAAGCCCTCTATATGGATTTGCACGATGCGACAACGCGGCAGCACCTGACCGAAGTTTTTCATGGAGGCGCTGCGCTTGTGGTCGTGCTCGAGGGGCCTGGCGCCATTCCCACCTGGCGCCAACTTTGTGGTGGGTTTTTGCCAAGCTCGACCTGCTACTTTGATCTTTGTCCGACCTCAGCCCCCTCTTACTTATTGGTTGTTGGGGCTCTTGATCACGTCGGCAGGATTGGGGGATGGGCTCGAAGACGCACACACGCTGCTATATGCAGCCCCCTCGCGGCTGCACTATCAACATGCGTTGGACACCCTTTTGGGCTTTGAATATCAACCCTTTGGTGCCGCTGGTCCACGAGAATGGAGGGTTGTCCATGCCACGGTGCAGGACGTGCAACACTTGGCCATGTCTGAACCCTATCTGGGCCAAGACGTCTTCTACCGCCACAGCCTCGATGGTCTTTTCCATCGAGCCGTCTTATCGAGCTACCTTGGCTCGGGTGTGTTTGTGGGTCACGCACCCGCTCAATACGGCTCTACGCGCCAAATCTTATTGGTACGTTACTGGAAGACGGGGCAGATGGAACACTTGCGTCAATGGCGTGCAAGTGCATGTCAGATGGTTTTGACAGTCTTCATCCTGGAACGCGCGATTCATTCTGCATCGCCCTTCAACTCTCACCTGTTTCTGAATGGTTTGCCGATGGTAGGCCAATGAGACCTTCTTCCTCTGCAGTGCCATGGAGCAACGCCCGTGCAGAACCGGTGACAAGGTGGGTGTGCAAGACCACATGTACCCGTGGCTGAAATTGAGCAATCTCATGAGCGCGCTGTGGACAACAGGTTCTGGCCACTCACCCCATGATCAGCGATACTTGGATACCAGCCCGCGTGGAAGCTGATGTCGACGCAGCAGGCACACTTTTGGTGATCTACCCAGATGAGACGGCTTCGTACCTGCGAGACGTAGAGGCCCGGGTTCTCCCCAACCAAGACGAGGCGTGAGTCGAGCTTGCAGTGCCTTTCTTTCAATCTCTTTGTAAAGTCTTGTGTGAGAAGTGTCTGTGTTTATGCATTCGTCGGTTTCCAAAAAGCTATCCGTGTTTGCAACGCTAACACATTTCCATTGCCTTTGCCTTTGCTCATGCCTGACGACGGCCACAGTATGTTTGCAGAGTTGTGGAAAACGGCTATGCAGGCTCGACTGCGCTACTGCGCTCGGGACGTGGTGTGCCTTGATCCACACTCGGGATACTTTTATCCTGTGAGTTACCGGAACGAGATTGTTCATGCTTTTTTTTTTAATGTTGAAGTGACACACTGTGTTGCATGGCTAGGCGATCGTGACGGCTACCGACGACTTGTTTGAATTTGCTGTCGCCCTGGCTGGCACGGTTCCAAACCAGACCACAGTACGTATTTGTGGGGTCTTGCGCAGGATATGGGGGCTTGCAGCTGAAGATGTATTCATTATGTAACCCCTGGCACCTACTCTTCTTCAGTCTGCTAGCCATATCCTGGTGCGGGCTGCGGATGCTGTCTTGCGAGAGGGTGATTGCGTGGCGGCCCCTGTCGCCGACAAGGATGGAGAGCTAGAGGACGCGTCGCAAGATGCGTCTGCCACCGATGTGCTAGCACCTGCCAAGGTACGTTGTTGGCACAACCTTGTTGTTCGGCAGCGTGAATTCCCAGGCTCATGGTATGATGGTGGGATACTGACATAGATTGACCGGGTTGAGGGGTACGGGTATTATGTTACGACGGAAGTCGGGATTTGGTCGCCTTTGATGATGTGTATTGGTGTAGCACGGGCACGTACATGCGCGCCGTGCAATGCATCGGACAACAAACGGCATGACTCTACTTTCCAAGCCAATGCACCTGCTTGGCTGCTATTTTGGCGTGGGTGGGGGGGGTTATTATGGTATATTATTCCTTTGTTGGCTTTGGTGACAGCACCCCGAATGGGGTGGCGCCAAAGGGATAGGCACGCGTAAAGGGTTTGGTGCAAATTGATGCTGGGAGGTTTTAGAAAAAGTACAATGTCGCGTGCGATTGGGCCTATCCCATACATAAAAGCCTTTGAAGACACCACACTCAATCGACGAGCAGTCGATCACAAGCAAACACGACATGACCCGAGGCCATTCTCAACTGCGCTCGAGCGCAGTTTTGGACAGATGCAAAGCTCCCATGATACCTGCGAACCATTTCGAAGGACAGAAGTTAACGAGGAGCCGCAGGGCCTTTGCAATGAGCCTGGCGAGTGGGGTGGAGCGTACCGGCATTGTTGCCCCAGGTAGAGGGGCGGATGACCTCTTCAGGACGTTGTAAGAGCTGCTCCACGTCAACATATCCGGCCAACAGTTCCAGTGTCTGTGGCGATAACGAGATGGCGAGTGTTGTAATTCAAATGTGAGGTGTGGGTGCCAACCGGCTGGATGTGAAGGGAAGAAAAAAGGTTGAGCTTACCCGAGCGCGGACTTTGTCAAAGAGGCAAGCGCGGAGCATGACGCCTCCGGAAATGACGATGGCTTGGGGAGAGACCGTGAGCAGCAGGTTGGCGCAGGCGTTGGCTAGGGCGTCCGCAGCGGCGTCCCAGATGAAATCATCATCATCAAGGTTGGCGAGTTCTTCCTGCGAAACGCCGCGGCGAGCAGCGAGGGCGGGGGCAGAGACGAGGCCTTCGACACAGTCCTTGTGGAAGGGACAAACGCCCGCAAAGGTTTCTCCGGGCTGACGACGAATAAGCATGTGGCCACCTTCTGGATGCAAAAGACCGTGGACTGGTTGGCCATTGATAACCAGGCCGATGCCAACACCGGTGCCAACAGTGATGTAGGCCAGGGATGTCAAGCCGGGATTGGTGGCGTGGAGGGCCAGGAATTCTGCATAAGCAGGGGCGTTGACATCGGTATCAAAGAGATGTGGAATGCCGGATGGGCACAGCGTTTGCACCACCTTGGCATTCTAAAAGGGGAAGAGCAGGGGCATGAAGGCAGGGTAGCGTGAGGGGCAGATTCGTCGACGGCAACACAGCACGGCATGAGGAGGCGGGGGGGATCCTCAGCAACTCTTGGGCGTGAGAGAATCGGGCGTGTGTTTTGGTGCTCAAGGCTGGCGCTGTCTGGAGCAAAGACAAACCTTCCAAAAGGGCTTTGGGGTTGAAGTGATACAACCGTACTGGGGGTGGGAGCGATCGGGTTGGATGGGACCAAAAGTACCAATGCCAAGGCTATCATATTTTCGGGCATCAAGCCACTTGCGGATGGCAACGAGTGTCACCTCGGGCTTTTCGGTTTTAAAGGTGGTACGCTCGACAATGTTGTCGGGTCGGCCAACGGCGATGGCTGCGCGCCAGCTCGTGCCACCGCCCTCGACGGCGGCATAGACCTAGATGAGAAACAAATGAAGGGGATGTGATTTGGGGGTCAGCGCAGGGGATAGAGGTGAGGGCAGAGAGGGTTGTCATTGAGGGCAGAGGAGAGTGTCATTGAGGGCAGAGAGAATAGTCATTGAGGAAGTATTGAGATGGCATACCGTGGCTTTTGGTGGGGTGACCAGGCTGGCCAGAGTCGCCAGGCGATCGGCAAGCCAAAACGGAAGTAGAAGCATGGCCATGTTGCAGGGAGGGGCGGATCAGTTTTTTGGGGCTTGCTTGAGCAAATCAAGACTTAGTAGAAACAATCAGGCAATGGACGCGTAAGTGGCGTGCTTGCGTCGGCGGGTCGCGGCCCCAGCTTTTGTCGGGTAGTAGACGTAAACGGCCAGCGCCAAGCACAAAACGCCGAGCGTCTGTCAACGGAAAAGTGTGGTCGATGAGGACTGGGGTTGGCCAAACTCAAACCAAGGATTGGGAGGAGGATCCCGAGTACGTACCACACTAACGGCGATTGTGAGAGGTTGGTCAATCACAGCCGACATCCAGCCTTGAAAGGTGAGAGTAATCCGCTCTTCGAAAACGGCAACAACGCACGATTGGATCGCGCAAGTTCGGTCCTGCTGTCAGGGCCTCCGTGAGCAATCCAAAATCAGATACAAACAACCCCATCCCGCCCGGAAAAAGGCAGGGCTGGGAAAGAAATGAATGCCAGGTACAACTCGAAACATACGTCAAATCCAGCAGCAGCCAGGATCAAAGCCGGGCACGCTCGGGGACGGCTACCGGTTGCGATCGATCGATCTCGCGCCGTCTTGTCGCGCACTCCAGAACTGCTCTTGTCAATGCGCACGCACTTCCCAACAGCGATCAAGTGTGCTGTTTACTTCAGATAAATCTGCATAAAGTTATATTGTAGCCCTTATTAAATCTTCAAAAACTTTTATTTCTACGACAAAATCAGCTTGGCATGCACTGAGATGAGGGTTATCGTCACTGGTTGCGCCATTCACAGTCCTGCTACCACATGTCAGTCCCTTTCGGGGGGGGCTAATTTCTTATGTTCATAGGGCGAAAGCTCCTTGTTTTTTCACACTTCTCTATTATATATTGCTGCTGCTATTACTACGAATGCTGCTGCTAGTGCTACTACTACTGCTACTAATACTGCGAATACTGCTATTACATGTACATGTACTACTACCACTACTGCTAGAATACTCACTACATGTACAACCACTACTGCTACTATTACTACGAAAACTACTTATGGGCTGGCTTTCACATTTGGCGGTGGCCCGAGCAAGCCACACTTTTTTTCGTTCGCAAGGCATCTTGGCACCCACCTTTTCCTGGTGAATAGCGCCAAACTGTATGGTCAAGTATGCTGGCCTTCATCCCATTGCCATCCCATGCCCCCCGCAGGACGGGAGACTTGAGCCACAACAACCGGCCCCGCCCGACCTGCAGGACTCCGATCCGGACACTGGGTCGGTTCTAAATATATCCTGCAGGTTTGGTCAGTGTCATTTGATTTCATCCATCACCAGGTCAAGTTGATGTTGGGCGGGGATGGCCCACTCGCTTATGCACGTGATCGGCTCGGAGGGAGAAAGGGCGAATGTGACGATCGGCTGGGCATGTGCAAGCACGTTCTTCTTGTTTTGTTGAGGGCGAGCAGCGCCGGCATGTGCGGCCGAGCGGCAGCGCAAGTTTCTTGAAGCAAGCAGGGAAGGGGGAATCATCACACGTATCAACCCATCCAAAGCCATCTGAGGAAGGCAAGGCTGGGTGACGAGAATCAACACTTTGATGCAAGAAACCAGCGTTGCTGAGTGAAAAGAGGGCTTTGGTTCTTGCTGGCTGTGTGCCCTTTTTTGTTGGGCAGCCAAACGAGCCGATTTGAACCCCCATCGCACGAGCCAATACATTGGGGTTGGGTCATTGATGTAAAGAATCAGCTTTGGGGCAGAAGATGAACAAGAGGGTGCGTGGCGCGCGCAGAGCCTGTCGTCTGCACCGCCAGACCATGCCCCTCCCGATTGAGACGGCCTCGCTCACACGATCGCATTTCGGTTATTCGGTTGTTTGTGGCCGTGTCGTCAACCGCGGCGCGCGGATCATGCCGCCCAACAAGAATTTAGAAGGAAACCAGGGCGAGACTGTGGGTGGGTTGGATGCCGATGGGCGGAAGCATGGGAATTCGAGTCGCGAAATGTATGATGGCTTCACAAGCCACAACAAACCCACGGTTTAGCTTGGTTTAGATCTACGGGATGGTGTATGATGTGGAGCGCATGTATGTCAAGATTCACGGGATGGGCATTGGAGAGCGTTTCGCTACCTCAACGCCCCACAGTCACACGAACCCAGTCACAACAGGGGCTCGAGTCTCCTGATTCGATCCTTCTTCGTGTGGACATGACAGGCCGACGTTTTGTTGTAGCTATGGCTCTTGACAGTTTCTTGTTGTATCCTTTGCTGTTGCTGAAGTACCCCCTTTTCGTTTACCCCTTGGCTCCATACCGACCTCATTGCACCATACCAACCCACCTGACCCGCAAGCCAAGCCACCACAGCAGACCAAAAAAAGAATCTGATTGAAATTTCTTTTTCGAAAATTTTTTTTTTCAATTCATAAGGTGATAAGGGCACAGCGAACAAAAGAGATAAAGTTAGTCTTACCTTTTGGACTACTTCGCGCGAGCGATGTAAGCAACAACAGCCACAGAGACAGAGAAGAAGATGGAGTAAGAGGACAGAGATAGAGATGAAGGCAGCAGTGGATACGGGGAGAGAGATGGTGTTGGAGATATCACCACAAACACAGAGGTAGACATATGGGAATCAGAGATGAAGATGGAGACGGAGATACATCCAGAGATAGAGGCAGACCCAGAGCTTCAAGCCAGAGACACGATTCAATCTGTACACCCATACATAGGCAAGCACCAAGGAAAAGCCCCAACATCGTTGATCGCCCACCCCTCCTACTTGACGGTAGATGAATGATGGTCTGCCTGTCTACCACACCACCCCCCCCACACACACACACACCTGTGTGACCATCTGCTGCTCGACCCCCCCTTGTCTTTTGCTTTTTTTGCTTGCGGCTCCACGAGCTTGAGCTGGCTCATTTCACTCATCAGACCGAGGTGGGTAGATGAGTGCCCGCCAATCATTCTTCCCGCATCCCGCATACACACCACCTGCCCACGCCTCTCCCACCAGACGCAGACACACCGTGCTCGCCGTCATGTGTACGGCGCCTCGCACTATTTATTGTCGAGGGTTCGGCTGCCATCACCTGTACGGGGCCCAGGCATGTGCACATGGTGGCAACCAGCAGCACACTTGTAGCTCTCCCCTTCATGATCACCCTGTTCACATCTACACACTCACTCACACGGTACCGTACACATACACATCTGGACCTCCA